GACAGTCATGGTCCTGCGGTGGCAGAGTCACACACACGCACAGCACACATTGCACACGCGCGCGCACGCATGCCACATGTCTCCTGTGTCCATAAACATCCCTGCCACACTCTCCTGTGCAGACATGTACATGTTCTCCAGATGCAAACCGAAGGCACGTGAGTCTTGCGAACACCCCACTCCCATGTATTTACTTCCTCACTCGACTATGAGACACTGTCACGCACACTCGGCTCTACCCAGGCACCCGGAGCACTCCTCCACACGGTCACGCCATTTCCCATTTTCCAAAGGGAAGCAGGCCTGGCAGGGGATTAGCTGAGACAAAGAGGTTTGAAGGTTTGGGAGAGGAGGAGGGAATTGGAAGCCTACTTACTCATAGAAGAAAGAAAGTTCCAGAAGGCCTATTTTACCCTGAATGGTTGGGCCAGCCAGTCATCAGAGACTGCATGAAAGCCTTCCTTCAACAGGTGTGTGGGAGTCCTCTGCGGTTCCTCCTCCAGCCCCTGCTGTCCACCTGCCCCTGGCTGTCATCGGCTCTGTCTGTCTGTCTGTCTGTCTGCTGACTCCCAGGGTATTACAGTGGAGATAGGGCAACTGCCCAGAGGTTCTCAGCTCACAGCCCAGGAAGGAATGGGGCAAGTTTTGTTCAGGATCTCACCTGCCTCAGCAGGCAGAGGACAGGCTCAGGTGGGGTGGGAGCTGCTCTGGGAATACCTGAACCCCTTAGGTCTTTTCAAGGCCCTAAAGGACCTGCCCACTTAGCTCCCCTCTGACAACTCCCTTCTCCAGCTCTGAGCACCAGCCACAGTGACCAGCCAGCAACCAGAAGCTCTTGGAACAAACACCTTCAGATCCGCGCATAGACTGTCCCCACTCCCCACCCAGAACAGCTTCCTCATCCTTCCAGACTTAAGAGCCACCTCCTAGGGCTGGGGATGTGGCTCAGGCGGTGGCGTGCGGCCCGGGTTCGATCCTCAGCACCACATACCAACAAAGATGTTGTGTCTGCCGATAACTGAAAAATAAATATTAAAATTCTCTCTCCCTCTCTTTAAAAAAAAAAAAAAGAGCCATCTCCTTGGGAAAGTCTTCCATACTACTGTGATTCGAGGTCCCTCCTGTGCACACCTCCACCTGGGCACTTCACTGTGCTGCCAGACCTGCTGCCTGTCTGCCTCCCCTCAGGGCAGAGGGCGTATCTGTTCTGTGCACTGCTGCCTGGCACATAGCAAGTGCTCAATAAATAACCTGGGCATAAACGAATAAATAAAGGCTGCTCCTCTGCGTGAGTGAAAACAGAAAGGAGATTGTTTTGGAAAAGGATTTCTTTTTCCTTCTCATCTTCTTTGTTACTAGGGACCAGTTGGAGATCACTAAGGCCCCAGCGCCCATCCAAGGATGCCTGTGGCATGAATGCTCCTCTACCTCTCTTCTACCTTCAGCCAGCTGTGCTGTGTGCTGCTGGAATAGCTTCAGGTGCCCTGAGCTGGGACTGGAGATGATGGGGAGGCTTGGACAGTGGGGGTCACCTGGAGTGGAGAAATTCAAGTGACTAAATGTACTCCCCTGTGAGGCTGAGCATTTGGAGATGGAAAGGAAGGCTGGGGTGGTGGCTCATTGGTAGAGCACTCGCCGAACATGCGTGAGGCACTGGGTTTGATTCTCAGCACCACATAAAAAATGAACAAATAAAATAAAGGCGCAATGTTCATCTATAACTAATAAAAATATTTAAAAAAATAAAATAGGGGCTGGGGTTGTGGTTCAGAGGTAGAGCACTCACCTAGCATGCTTGAGGCACTGGGTTTGATCCTCAGCATCACATAAAAATAAAATAAAGATATGAAATAAAATAAAAAGATCCCAGGAGCTTAGTGCAGTGGTGCATGCCTATAATCCCAGCAGCTCAGGAGGCTGAGGCAGGAGGATTTTGAGTTCATAGCCAGCCTCAGCAAAGGAGAGGTGCTAAGCAGCTCAGTGAGATCCTGTCTCCAAATAAAATATAAAATAGGGCTGGGGATGTGATTCAGCAGTCAAGTGCCCCTGAGTTCAATCCCCGGTAGCCCCCCCACCAAAAAAAAAATTAAAAAGGCTGGGGATGTAGCTCAATACCCAAAACCGCACAGAGAATTTTTAAAAGGCCCCAGGAGAAAGAAGTCCTTCAGTGACCTGGCTAAGGCTGATTAAAGGGCCGGCTGGCTAGGGCGTCAGCACTGCTGAGGAGTCAGTGGTGGCCAGGAGCGATGCTCAGCCACTGGGAACTTGGGCAGTGCTGGTGGAAGTGGATGCTGGACAAACAGGGAGCTGGCCTTTCAGATTCCAGCAGAGCCCTACTTCCCTTTCCGCGAAGCTGAGCAATATGAAAACTACTATGTTTACTGAGGGTCTCCTACAGAGGGGGCAAGCCCATCCTGCTGCCATCTCCAGTCCACGCCAGGACAGACATCACTAATCTATCACGAGTGCACCTATCACCTCCAGGCCAGGAAGAGGTGTCAGAATTCTGTGCATCGTGTTCCAAGGAGGGATTGCTGATAAAGGGCTCAGAAGGTGAATCCTTTTCTTTTCTTTTCTTTTGGACTGGGAATTAAACTTAGGGCACTCATCTACTGAGCCACATCCCCAGCCCTTTTTTGTAATTTATTTACAGACAGGGTCTCACTGAGTTGCTTAGGGCCTCAGTATGTTGCTGAGGATGGCTTTGAACCTGCACTCCTCCTGCCTCAGCCTACCAAGCTGTTGGGATTACAGGTGGGCGCCACCACCCTTGGCTGCCAGTGTCCTTCTCTTGCCACTTCCCCATGCTGCCTCTTTCCACTGGGTACCTCTTTTGCTATGTTGTGGCATTTACTGGAGATCTGTCACTTCCCAACCTTCAAATTCCCTGTTTCCTTTGGGTCCCAGAAAGAAACAGTGTTACCTTCACCAGGACAATGGAGGAGCCTTTCAAGAAGATACTAGAACCAGGCATGGTGGCGCATGCCTGTAATCCCAGCGCCTCAGGAGGCTGAGGCAGGAGGATTGCAAGTTCAAAGCCAGTCTCAGCAATGGTGAGGCACTAAGTAACTCCGTGAGACCCTGTGTCTAAATAAAATACGAAATAGGGCTGGGGATGTGGCTCAATGGTCGAGTGCCCCTGAGTTCAATCCCCAGTAACAACAACAACAATAAAAAAAAAAAAAAAGAAGACACTAGAAGGAATCCCACAAGGAATAATGAGGAGTTTGAAGGCCCTAGGAGGGAGGAGGCTAGAGAGAGCCATAGTCACAAAGTGAAGGGACCAAGGGGACAAACACCCCAACCTCTCTATTCTCCCTTTCATTGTTCTCCAGTGGTGTCCCCAAATGGACAAGCCCAAGCGAAAGCCAATGGCCTCAGCTGAGGCGGCCATGCAGGTCCACCTCCTGGACCTCAGCGTTGGGTGGAGGACAGGCAGCTGAAGGTCTGGAGGAACAAAAAGACAGGGTTCTTCAGAGTGCTCCTCTCCTGTTTGGGACCAGGGGTGGAAACTTCCCTTCCTAGGGAGCGATTATGAAAACAGACCCTGCTTTTCCCTATAGAAACCAAGGTCAAGAATTCCATCTCCCCCTCCCTGCTGGCTGCCAGGGTGGGAGAGGAGGACCTAGGCTCAGTCATTCAAAAGTCCCACTGGGCCTCAGGGTGGTGAGTAGCAGCCCAAAGGCTCAGAGTCAGTTTGGAAATTATTCCTGGCAGAGATCTGGGTGGAGACAGTGAAGTCACCATGTGGGTGGGGGAGACCGTGGATGGCAGAGGGTGGGCCAGCAAGGGCATCCTAACCAGACTGCCCCATGGTGTCCCCCTTGGTAGCATGGCTTGGACCCTTCCCATTGGCCAAGGTGGGGCGCCCACTTTTCCATGGATGCCGTGAGCCTCCCCAAATCCTTCCAGTAGATCTACCCTCTGCTCATGCACATCAGAGTCCATTTGGGTTGATGCTCAGGAAAAGCCTGATTGCTGCCACCATCCAGGACCTGGAGATGTTGCATTTGGTGGCAGGTGGTCTCCTGGAAGGTGCACCAGGAATGCAGCAGGGGAGTCCGCAGATGCCCCCCGACCTGCCCAGGCCCTGCCATTCACCAATCAGGCGAACTTGGTCCAAGGTCATTTGTGCGCTCAGCTGAACTCAAAGGAGTGAATCCTCTTGTGTGCATCCCCCTCCCGGACCTGGCTTACTGGTGAAGGCCGCAGAAGAACAAGCTGCCCGTACGAAGAAAAGATCCTGTCACCAGGAAGTAGGACTGGGCTGGAGGCCTGGTCCTTCATCCGACAGACGAGGCACCTCGGAGGAGTCCTCTGAAGGAAGGGCCCCACCCTGCAGCAGCCTCCCTCTGCCAGAGGCCTGGGCCTGAGGTGTGTGTATCTCGACTGAGCCACTCCTGGAAGTAGCCAGATGAGCTGCCCCTCCATTGCCACCAACACCCCGGCTTTGCTTGTCTCTCTGAGCCTTCAGTTTACTCCGGGAGTTAGAAGACAAGCAAAGCATCAGCCTGAGGTTATGGAGCCACACTGGGGCCCAGAGAGGGCAGGAGGGGCAGCAGGCAGAGTCCAGGAGATGTTTGGTCTAGGGAGCCCCTGGGCAGGACCTGTTCCTTCCACCCACCCCACTCCCTCCGCCCTGGTCTCCCTGGCCCTCTAGTGCTGTCCCAGCTCAGGCCCATCTCCCCTGCTCAGGGAGCCCAGGACAAGGGAGGGATCTAGGCTTCGGTGAGCTTTGCTCCCCCTGGGCTCTGCGGGTCAGGAGGGAGGCATGGGGTGTGGGGAGGGCTCTCTGGGGCTGGGGGATCACATGGGGAAGAGGCAGCCTTTCATCTTGGCTCTGTAAAGCAGACCTGCCCTCCCCCCAGTCCAAGCTGATTGGCATTGGCACGCGCCATAAATCTCTAGGATGCTGCAGCTATGACTGGATTATTTATAGCTCCAGTCTTACATCTCTAACACGAAAATATCACACAAAGAGAAAGGTAATGAAATCTCACCTCTCCTGCATGTCCGTCCCCCACTCCAGACTGCAGGGCTTTCCAGAAGCCCTCCTGGCTGAAGCAGGGAAGAGAGAGGCTGGCCTCCCCCTCCACCAGCCTCCCTCCCTCCCCCTCCTGTCAATCACACACACTTCTCAGCTGCACATCCTCCCAGACACATTCCCTCTCAGACACATTCTCGCATCTTCTCTCTCTCTCTCTCTCTCTCTCTCTCTCTCTCTCCCTTCCTTACACACACACACACACACACACACACGCTCACACACATCCTCCCAGATGCAGACTGTTCTGTTCCGCCTCTCCCTCCTTCTCCACTCACCCTGCCTGTCCCCCCAGACGTGCTCCACACACCTCTGCCCTCTCCCTTCCACAGCCGTCTCCCTGTGTGACTCACTGGCTTCCGCTGTGTTTGCTTTTCTGCTTTGTCAATGAAGCCGCTGGCACATTAATTACGGGGCCTGTCCTCGGCCGAGGCACATCAGCTCCTTGTCAGTGGTTGGGGGAAGTGTCAGCTTACATCCATCTCCTTCTGCCTTCAAGAATCCCGTGGGCATGGTCTCCCCAGGGGGACCCACTTTGCGGCACGTGGCAGTGAGGGCACGTGTCCCCGTGTCTGACATACCCAGACACGCAGAAAACGCAGGCCACCGAATGAGCCTCTCGCCGCAGCCAGGAGCAGTAAGGGGTCTCTGCAAAGCCAGGTCCCCCACCCTCCTCCTGGGCCCCAGTCTCACCGTGCTGCAGGGCGCCTGGTCTCCTGAGGCCCGTCCACAGGCATGGGGACCCCAGCTCACCTATATCTGGGTATTCACACACACTGTGTGTGTGTGCGTGTGCGCGTGCATGCATATGTGTGTGTGTGTGTACATGCATTCCCATGTGCACACACTTTTTTATTTTTTTAAGGACTGGGAATGAACCCAGGTGCACTCTACTACTGAGCTACATCACTGACCTTTTCATTTTTTTGAAACAGGGTCTTAATAAGTGACATAAACTGGCCTCATATTTACAATCCTCCTGCCTCAGCCTCCCAAGGAGCTGTGATCACAGGTATGTACCTCTGTACCTGGCCACACCCTCTTATGCTAGGATAAAGGGAAAT